TCCCCCGACTGAGCTGGCGGAGGTGGTGGGGGTGAGGGAAGTTTTCCTGTTTACCTACAGTGTATAATTTGGAACAGGAATGCTGTAGGTGACAGTCTTTCCTGTGTTTTTTTTCTCCAAATTATCTACTGCTGGAAATATGAAACACTTGGTGTTTTCAGTGGATTTTCACACTTAAGTCTGACAAATCGCTCAGAACAGCTGATGTGAACGCTCTCCTGATGCTTTCAGAATTCAGAATATTTTCTGAATGTGTTCATCGTCATGTTTCAGGGCTTGTAGTCCCGTCACACTCCCCCCCTTATGCCTCCTGGCTGTGTGTGTTTGGATGACTGTCACTCGGTGCCCACTTAAAAGAACGTGACTGTGTGAAGGGGCGTAGCCCAGGGAGGCTCAGCGGGAGCCGAGTTGACCCTGACCTGAACTGACCTTCTCACAGACACAGAGAAAAAAAAAAAAAAAAAGCTGGTAGGATTTCATTCACATGTCAGCAGCCCTTTTTATCCACTGAAAAACAAAATACTCAATGACAACAGCATTGCTTTACATCTTTAGATCAATATGTTGTTTTTAAATTCATACAGAACACAAATGATCGTATATTCTTTCTGTATTAATGTATAAATTACCACAGCCGGATTGTCTCGACCTTCCACTTGCTTTACCGTCCTCTTTGAAGTCTGCCTGCTCTGTCTTACATTCGATCCAAGCAATATCACTGCACTATCCATGCATGAACACAGCATTGTAAATAAACAGTGGTCTTGTTAGGCTTCAATGGAGCTGATTGATGAATTATTCAGCTGTATTAATTGTGAGTGACTCTGAGCTAGGGCAGCTCATGTAAATGAAGATGTGTCTCCATCTAGTGGCTAGCTGGGATAAGAACAGAAAAATGGTTTGAGTGTTTAAAATTAAGAAATAGGAAATGAATTGTTCATAGTGCTGGTACATTAATGATTTCAGCCACAGAGGATCCTCAGTAAGATACTGTTGTTTTCTTTTTAGTTCTTCCCTGATCATCGTCTCTGCTAGGATGAGATTACTCAGCGTGGACAAGCTCAGCTGTTTTCTGTGTACAGTTGTATGTTAAAGTTTTGTATAAAGTAGCTTTTCAGTGATGAGTTATGATCAGCTTATTATTAATAGTAATAATAATAATAATCAGAGGACTTAATTTGTTTTTCTATGGTGATGTGCAAAATTCTTGAGCAATCCCTTGTTTCCTTATGTTTTTCTCCATTGCTTGCTTCTTGACGGGTTTTTTTAACTTGTGAATCATTCAAGCATAAATACAACACTTATTCACCGAATGAGTTAGTAGTGACAAAGAGCCAGGTTTAAATTGTATCTTTACTTAATAGCCTGTGGCAGAAACACATCAATTGTTCCCATTTCTTTAGAAGAAGAAGACGTGGCGGACCTAAAACTATATTTGTAGGAGAGGAACAGTAACTGAAAGTCATGGTCTTAAGAAACAGGAAAAAATCAAGCAGTGGCAAAGGCCTGACACAGGACCTGAGAGATGAATGCAGTCCTTCAGTTGATCCATCTACTGTTCATTGAAGCCTCATCAGAAGTAATGGAGGATGTCGACAAGCTGTTGTTAAGGAAGGGAAATTAAGGATGGTTTCATTTATGCCACATTATGCAAGAACAAATCAATAACAACAGGTCGTTTTGAGTGATGAATCCAAATTGAAATCATTGTTTATATGCACAGTGGAGGTCAGGAGTGTCTGCAGCCATCTTTAAAACATTTTTTATCTTACATCTGTGTATTTACAATTTTCAGCACTTGAATGAATTTGAGGAGCTGCTGTGAAAGCTTACTTGTTAAGAAGTCACTTGTGATGCTGCTGCTGCTAAAAGATTTTGTGGCTCTTATCACACACCGCTGTGCAGCCGTGTTCTCTTTCCGCTGAGTTTGCAGAGACCTTTCATCTGCTAAAGTGAGAGGGCTGACGGCTCCATGTGTTCAACACGACTAAGAGTTAAATACTGAACTTAAATATTTTTTTGTTTTATTTTTTTTTTGTATTACGCTCTAAAATCATACTTTTCCTTCAGAAGACAAGATCAGGACAGATTGTGCTTTGACCTCGAAATAAATACAAATATACATTAAGGAGGAGGTTCACAGAGCAGTTGGGGGTGTCCCTTCCTCTAAAATGACAAGTCAAGGTCAGGAACGGGATGAAAGGGCATGGGAAGTGAATTGTATTCATTCATAAATATGCAGCAACTTAAACTTGGGTGTTTGCATGCAGATTACTTATATTTTTGGTTTCATTTTATTTCCAGTAACCACAGTTATTGATTTTCTGTCTTTGTCTTGCTGCACACGTTTTTTTTTTCCTTCTTTTTTCTTCTTTTTTTAGTGTATTATTTCTGTGCTTTGCCTTTGAAGCTGCTATAACTGTGTGCCCAGCGATCTATGTGACCTGTAATTGGAATCAGCCTCGCTTGCAGCACATTAGCTGGCCCTGGCTCAACGTCCAAGGCTTTCAGCAGATCAATAAAGAGACAATGGACAGAAAGAAAGGGAGAGAAATCAACCCTGTAGCGTGCGCTGATGAGAGTGAGAGAGCGAGACTGTTTGTGTGATGAGGAAGTGGCTTTTTGCCCCGAAGAGAACGGAAGAAAGAAATAAGGGACAAGAGAAGACTGACTTTCCCAGCGTAGCCCTAACAGAAAGAGTCTGTAGCCATCAAGGAAGTGGCTGGATAGCATTTGTGGGGAGGGGAGGGGCGGCTGTAGAGGGAGGGCAGACCTCATCGACTGAGGTGGAACAGTGGCCACACACACACAAAGACAGACACACACACACATATATAGAGCACACACAAACACCAGGAAGCCCAGCAGAGGAAGGGGGTGGGGTTGAGTAGGCGGGGTCCTCTCTCTTTCTGTCTTTCGGTGTCCAGACGACTTGATCTAAAGGGAAAACACTGATGTGTCCAGGCAGGCCCCGTAGAAGGAGATAGGAGGCAGAAAAGAGGAGAGAAGGAGGTGAAAGAAAGGAAAGGAAAGACAGAACCATGGAGGAGGAAGAGGAGGAGGTGCTGTGCTACTTGGACAGGGTTCTGGAGGAGGAGGAGGAGGAGTCTGAATATGGAGATGGGGAGCTGGAGCCCATCACTACGACACATAGGCAGTTCAAGGTGAGGCATGAGCTGGAGAGGAGCTGGATGCAGAGGAAAAAGAGCGCGCGCAGACACACATACAAACACACACACGAACATACACATACGTACACACTTTTGCAATACTGCCTTTCAAAATGGAAAATCCCAGTCAGTGTATTGGTGTGTTTGTGGCGTGACGTGTGCTTCTTCTCAGAGCCATCTGTGCTGCAAAAGTGTGTGTGTGTGTAAGAGTGTGAGAGTGACAGCCATTGGTGTGTCAGCATGGCCCGATGAGGCAGTGACTCTGCAGCGCATGTCTGTGCACGGTGCTGCTGCTTTTTAAAGCCGGCCACTTTCTGTTTCTCATGCTAACTTCTGTGTTTGTGCGCCTCTGTGTGTACTCCTCCCTGCAGATGAACTGATAAAAAGCAGAGCTACTTTAAACTTTCTCTGCCCATTCAAGATATCAGCTCTTTTATCAGAGGGCAAAGGGCAACGCAGGAAAGCACGCAGTGTTTGTCTGTGTGAAAAGCCTAGTTGTGAGTCACAGAGCAGGTTGCTGTGGGAAAAAAAAATCACCTCATGGATTCCTCGTCTTGCCCTCTCGCCACACAGTAGCTCTTTGTACACAGCAGAGGGAAAATATTCCTTTTTCCTGTCTTTTTTTTTTTTTTTCTTCCCGTTGAGTTATCACTTATTTGTTACTTAAAAAAATGAACTGAATATTTCTGCAACGTTTTGGTTAGTCAAAAGGACAGGACACCTTTTGTAGGTTATGATGTCACATTTTAGACCTCAGCTATTCTGAGATATCACTTTAATAAGAACGCAGTGACTGGAGACACTCTCTGTGTTTAAAATAAATGTTGACCAGCAGTAATTCACATCACATCAAAGATTTTTCTCTTAGTTTCAAGTGTGTCTCATTTCTGGCTTTAGTTTTGAGCTTTAGGTTCTTTTAAAAGAATACAAGCAAAGAGAAAGGCTCAGAGGATTAAACTAAACAGATTTCTGGCCACGTGCTGCATTAATCCCTCATATTAACGTAAATGCAAGTAAGTGTCAGTAAGGACTTCCCTGACAGTTTATTTAACCAACAGAAAATGATCAATAGAAATCATCCCTGCCTCTCGGACTGATTTACTTTATACTGTCACGGTTAGCTGAGGAAAAACTGCCAATGTGTGACAGGCCTCAAAATAGGCCCTTTGCAGTCATCACATCGCAAGTGTTTGTTATCTTTATAGTCTTCAGCATTCGTAATAAAGCAGCACGTGTAAATGGCATATACTATAACACATACGGTAAATACTGAACCTTGATGTGCAGTATAATTTCCAACATCAGTGTTGGAATGTGCATGTCAGCCGTGATTGGGTTAAATGATGAGGTCACGCCTCCTTCCTCGTCTGGGCAGTCCTGGAGTGCTGATATCATTGTAAGGACTTGGTGGAATTAATAATTAATCTCTGGTCTCACAGCTGTTCTTTGGCCTTCTTTAAGGCACACATGTCGTATTTAAATGCCAATTTCTGGAGTTTATCGGTATTTATCTCTTCAGTAA